CGGATAAAGTCACACTTGAGAAGGCAAGGTCAAACTTTGCAAGAGTCTTGATTGAAGTTGATGCATCTAAACCACCTCCACTTGAACTCAAGATAAAGCTACCTAATGGCAAACTTCACACACAATATGTGAGGTATGAGACTTTCCCGAATTATTGCTTTCATTGCAAAAAGTTTGGGCATCATGCTTTTACATGTACTATCATTGCCGAAATTGAGAAGAAAGAAAAAGAAGACTTAATAAGAAAAGGCAAGGGCATTGAAGTTGAGGATGTGGTGGCCGAGGATGTTTTGGGGGCTGCCAAAACAGTAAGTATAGAACACGCCAAAACAGTGAGTAAAGAATTATCTATTGTGGAAGAAAGTGATCTTTTTGTTACTAAAAGAGATCATCCATTTTTCAAGAAGTTCCGGTTCTTTAAATGGGGAAAGAAAAAGCCCGTAAGAGGGGAGGGTGGCACATCCGATTTCAAGGATGGAGAGGATATACTTATCCGTAAGGTACAAAGTTTTCTTGACACATACCAAGATGAGGTAGTGGTAGATATGGAACCGGATGAGGTTTTGATGCCTACAATTAAGGTTACGCACACAAAACATGTGGATAAAGAGGCTACAATTCTCAAGATGGACCACCACCTCAAGATAGTGAAGGAGGACCAACCCGGGATGTTCTTCACTAAGGAATGCCTAGAGAAACTGCCCGGAATCACTGCTGCCACCAGCGGCTATACCTTTGACCCTACATTTATGAGAGGTGTATTTAGGCACTTTCTTGCTAGATATTATGAAGATGGCTGCCCAAGGGGTAAAGCATCTCTTGTAAAGCGCCCAAACATGCAAGACTTCAACAAAGTGCGTGTGGTGAAAGACATTAGGGATGCATATCGAGATGATGTTATTGTGAAACTTGAACTTGGCAATGACAACCTACCTTTGATTCATCTACTACACTTTGGTGAAGTTAAGGAACCAATGGTGCGGCTTGATAACTACTTGAGAGTCACCCAAGATGAGCTTACCGTGGGACTCACTTTCACAACTAAATGCTTGGAGGCTATTCCGGGAGTTTTTGCTACGGAGTTTGGGTATGACTTTAACTCTTGGTTCATTGAATATCCCTATACTTTGTTATATCTTACTAGGTACAAACAAAGACTTAAACCGAGGCCTACCTATGTGACAAATGGGATGAGGCCGAGACCCTATGAGAAGAATGGTGGGAGGAGGAAGGCCAACAAAAAGATTTGATGATTGTGTCCGCTTGGAATATAAGAGGCCTCAATAAGGTCTCCAAACAAAACTCTATCCTTAAGTTTATTCGCACTAATAATATTCACTTGTGTTGTCTTCTTGAAACCAAAATGACTACTACTAATTTTGTTAATTTTAGTTCAAATAGATTACCTTCTTGGCTATCTATTACTAATTTTGACAAAATTGATGGTGGCCGTATTGGCATACTTTGGGACCCTCATTTTGTTCATATTAATGTACTTGAAATTGACAAGCAACATGTGCATCTTAGCGCCATGTGTAAAATTACTCAAATTGAGTATCTTGTTATTTTTGTGTATGCTCTCTACACGGTGCTTGAGAGAAAGGCCCTTTGGGATCACCTAGCAAACTTGGAGCCTAACATTAATAGCCCTTGGCTAGTAATGGGAGACTTTAATTGTGTTGGATGCCCGAATGAGAGGGTGGGTCCCACTCCTCCCTCGGCCTATGATATGCAACACTTAAATGATTTTAAATTGCAAACTAACCTTGTTGATTGTCCATCCACGGGTCAATTCCTAACTTGGAATAGAGGTTCGTTGTGGGCTAAACTTGATCGAGTTCTCATTAACTCTTTTTGGTCCACTATGGATATTGAATGTAAAACACATTTTCATGATATGGAACTTGAATCCGATCACGTAGCTTCCATGGTTTCCATTGGGAAAACCAATGGGGCTGCCTCTCGGCCCTTTAAATTTTTTAATATGTGGCAAAATCATGAGAACTTCAATGCTATCCTCTCAAGTCATTGGGATCGAGAGGTATATGGCAGCTCTCAATTTATCTTAGCCAAGAAACTTAAGGACCTTAAAAGACCGCTTAGAGAGCTTAATAAACTCCACTTTGGCCACATTTCCGAAAGAGTTAAGGATTCCAAGAAAGAGTACAAACGGCTCCTCGAGCTTTCTCTACTCTTCCCGTTGGATGAAACTATAAAAGAAGAACTCTCCTTAACCAAGAAAAAACTTCTTAACCTTAAATTGGCAGAAGAAGATTTTTTTAAACAAAAGGCTAAGGCAAATCATCTTGTTCAAAGTGATAAATGTACTAAATATTTCCATGCTATTGTGAAAAAGAATGTGGCTAGAAATTCCATTACGGCATTAAAACTCCATAATGGGATGACTACCACTTCTATTGACCAAGTGGCTACGGAATTAGTGAACTTTTACACTGATTTGTTTGGTGCCTACTACCCCACTTCCGGGTTGGACCCCTCTGTGGTGGCCTCGGGTAGGTGTCTACCCGCCAATGCCACTCCTGACTTGGTTGCTCCTATCACCGATTTGGAAATCAAAGAGGCCCTGTTTGATATTGGTGATAACAAATCACCGGGGCCGGACGGTTACACATCCGCGTTTTTTAAAAAAAATTGGAACACCGTTGGTTTTGACTTTACTAGAGCCGTGAGGGGCTTCTTTGGCTCTGGCAGGTTATTAAAGCAAACTAACCATACGGTTATTGCTTTAATTCCTAAGACCAATCACTCTCCCACACCGGCGGACTTTAGACCAATTGCTTGTACTAATGTGGTTTATAAAGTCATTACCAAAATTATTTCTAAGAGGATGATCCCGTGGCTTCCGGACCTCATTGACCACGCCCAAGGGGCGTTTGTTGATGGAAGACTTATGATTGATAATGTCTTCGTTGCACAAGAACTGATCAAGGGATACTCTAGGAAACGTGCTTCTCCTAGATGTATGATAAAGGTTGATCTCCGGAAAGCCTATGATACTATATCCTGGGATTTCCTGGCTGCCATGTTAACCCATTTGGGCTTCCCGGGCAGATTTATACATTGGATTATGGAGTGTGTCACCACACCTTCCTATTCCATATCTATTAATGGGGTGCTCCACGGCCACTTTGAGGGTAAGAGAGGGCTTCGGCAAGGGGATCCTATGTCCCCCCTCTTATTTGTCCTATGCTTGGAATATTTTTCCAGATTGTTGAATATTAGGACCAAAAATCCTATGTTTAACCATCACCCCCTGTGTGGATCCCTTAACATATCACATGTGGCATATGCTGATGATTTGATGCTTTTTTCTAGAGGGGATACCACATCTATACAGATTCTCACACAGGCCTTGGAAGATTTTGGTAACATATCTGGCCTTAGGGTCAACTATGATAAATCAAATATCTTCCTTGGTGGTAATGCATATTATGAGCTTGACACTATACTAGAACTGGTGGATTTCAAAATTGGTGCATTCCCGGTCAAATATCTAGGGGTCCCCCTGGCACCCTTAAGGTTATCTGTGGCCCAGTATGCCCCACTTTTGGAGTCCATAACTACTTTCATTAATGCTTGGAGTACTAAGTCTTTATCTTATGCAGGCAGAGTTGAGCTGATAAAGTCCGTTATACAGGGAGTGCACTCTTTTTGGTTACACATGTTTCCGATCCCTAATGTTATTCTTGATAGGATTACATCCATGTGTCGCATTTTTCTTTGGGGAAGCAAATTCGCTAGGGTTGCCTGGGCTGATATTTGCCTCCCTAAAGAAGAGGGTGGACTTGGCATACATGACACGAAAGTTTGGAATAAGGCTTTACTTTCAAAAACTTTTTGGGATATACATACAAAAAAGGACACACTTTGGGTTAAGTGGGTCCATGGGGTTTATCTCAAGGGTAGGTGTGTGTGGGAGTTTGTCCCACACGAAAGAGATTCACAATTGTTTAAAAAGATTGCACAAATCCGAGATGAAATACTCTCCAAATTCCAGGACACCCCGAGTGCTATACTTGGCTTAAATGCTTTTCAGATGAATGGTAAGCTTGTATCCTCCAAGGTTTATGATTTGCTTAGGCCTAGGGCTGCCACCCGTGTGTGGATGCCGTTTATTTGGAAAGATTACATCCCTCCCAAGTTTTCCTTTGTTACTTGGTTGGCATTCCGTAACAGATTAGCCACGTGTGATAATCTTCATAGATTAGATGTGGATAATACTTGTGTATTGTGCAAGGGTGGACCGGAAACGGTTCCACACCTCTACTTTGAATGCCCTTTTTCAGGAAAAGTTTGGGCTATGATGAAAGCATGGATTGGCATTCCACGAATGATGGGGACCCTAGCTAGTGCGGTCAAATGGATCAAGAAGGAAAGGAGTGGAGCTAGTGTACGAGCCAAGGCTGCCAGGATTGCTTTCATGTGCACCACATACTCACTTTGGAGAGTCAGGAATGCAGCTCGATTTGATGATTTTTTGCCAAAGGAGGAGGAAGTTTTTGCCAGGATACAATATGTTGTCTATAAAATTCTGTATTGCATCTATCCTTATGATTTGGTAGTACTTTGATAACTTTCCTCCCATCACCTATTTTTGTTTGTGATAGGCCGTGTGGTAGTATAGGGGGGGCTGCCATGGCACCCTTATTTTGGCAGGTGATGGGTTATCCAATCTTTGGATAGCCTACAGTTTTGCTCATATTTTTTACTGTACAGACGAACTATTGACGGTTTTTCTAATATACTTACATGTTATCGTCGAGTTGCAATGGGTCCCCTATGGGTTCCCTATGCAAAAATACACAATTCTCGTTCACGACTCATGCCCAAATTATGAATAGAAAACAACTCTTGTTCACGACTCATGTCACGCCCCAGACCGCAATCCAAGCGCGTGTACAACCGCCGTATAATCAAGTGACGTCACCCGCGAGTCAACCTCACTTGATTACACAAGGCGTTCGAGAAAAAATAATCCATCCATACTCAGTAGTAAACATACATAACAACATCACATTTAAACTAATGAATAGCGGAAATATTCAACGGTAAGTCATAAGCCACAACCGGCCAATAACATGGGCATGCAAGCCCCAAAAATAGTTTATAACAAATAAAAATATCCATGAGCAATGTTTGGAAATTTGAAATAAAATGAGGAAGCACGAACCACGTCTTCCTTGATTTGATGCCACCCGTAGAAAGGTGCAGGTAGCAAGCCCTAGCTTCAACCTGAAAATGGTGGGGCCCCCCCGAAGGGGTCAGTACAAGTACCGAGCGAGTAGCAGGCTAAATATAGAATAACTATCGTTTCAAGTATAAGACTCAAACATAGGGTGATACATATACGTATAGCCCTTTCCCCAAGTTTGAAATACATATTAGTATACATACACTTGGAAATACCCGACCCGTAGGTCATTGTTTATTTGGGAAAATAATAGTAGCCAATATCCTTGACTTAAATCCCAACCCACCCATATACCTATGAGTGTATAGAACTCCTCCTTGTTCAAATAAATTATCATAAGGACACCGCCCGGTCCTAGATCATTAAATGTAATCTATGAGTTTTGAGGATACACGCCCGACCCTTGGGTACTCCACCCTATAACCGAGTTTTGAGGATAACCGCCCGATCCTTGGGTACTCCACCCTATATAACCGAGTTTTGAGGATAACCGCCCGATCCTTGGGTACTCCACCCTATATAACCGAGTTTTGACGATAACCGCCCGATCCTTGGGTACTCCACCCGACCTATGACTTACCTCATATCACACTAGATAGGGTCTATATCATATTTAGCCATTCATAACTAATTCAATACATAAAGCTTATGTATCACAATCCGTGCAAATCCATGCAACCACATAAATGTAAAATTAACTAATATCAACCGATATTAATTAATCCATTAACCATCGGTCAACGTTGTCGTTGACCGCCATTTCAAGTTTTACATTCTTTAACTTAATCACCATATAATTAAGTTAATAATATCCCTTTATGCCTCTTTTACACTTCAAGTAAATATGCATTCTTATATAATTTATCATATCATATTTCATGCATAAACAATTAATTCCTTCCATACACACTTGACTATGTTGGCTAATCACATGTTTAAATATCTTTTAAACATCATTATGAACACAAATAACATTTATTTAGGAAACCTCATAATTGACCCGAAAGTTATAAGATATTAAGCCGTCCACTCACCTTGAACTAGCGTTATGAAGCTCCACCCCTCTTGGTTAAACTCCGGTGAAACTCCGGCGACTTTCGGTCAACTCCGGCGACAACTCCGGCGACTTTACCAACTTGTGAAATCACTTGAAATACCTTTCACAAGTTCCTAACAAGGTTTTATAATCATAAAACCCATATTAATATAAATAACCTCAAAACGGTTATTTTCCGGTGAACCGGTCGTTTTGGCTTCTAAGTCCGTTCTTGGACATAGAATCACTTTCCAACCCATTAATCCATACTTATAACATGTAGAACCCTATCAAGGATTCTTCACATGCTATATATCTCATATGGTAGAAGAAAAATAAAGAAGAAGTTATAATAAGGTCATTACCTTAGTTATTTCACACTTTTAGCACTTTAGCTCCTTCTTGGGTGATTCTTCCTTGATGATTTCTCTTCAACAATGGAGGAAGGAGGCTGGGTGGTTTTTCTTGCTCTTCCTGGGGTCTCTTGGCCGAAAATGAGGGTGGGAGAGGGGTGAGGCTTACCCCTTTGTCTCATTGAACAAATGAGTGTGGATGGGGGCCACCTCATTTTTGTTTGATGCCATAAAGATCATATCAAAGCCTCCTCCCATGCCTCTCTTCTCTTACCAGCCGGCCAACCCCTCCAATTTGAGTGGCAAAAACGTGGGTTGGCCCCCACTCATGTGGGAGGTCAACCCTTTTTGTCCCGAAGTGTACAATCGGTCCCGAAAGTTGTATTTTTCGGACTGTTTTAATCATATTTTATTTTATCGGGTCAAATAAAATATATTATGTGCTCTTACTCATTATGACACGTATAATGAATATACATTCCCCAACTTTAATTTATAAGCCTCCGAAATTCATTTCCGGGCTGTTACTTGTCAAATTGTCGGTACCGGTAATTGGGCCTCTTTTTCCCAATCGGTCAACTCTACGCCTTTCCACGACCCAAATGAAATACCCACCACTATATAACTATTATCTTGACCAAGATGAATAAAATATGTGATCTCGGGAGTGTCGGGCGGCCCCGCTCCCGGTGTGGGTCCCACGTGCAATTTACTATTCACGCGAAAGAAATAATAAAAATTTACAACTTCGTAAATTCATTAATCCTTTAATAAGGTTCGATACATTATTTACATAAAAGTAAATATATTTGGGGACGGTGTTACAAGTTCACCCCCCCCTTATTTGGGATTTCGTCCCTGAAATCCAAGTATCTAATCGAAAAGAAATGGGTATTGCTCCCTCATGGAGACCTCGGTCTCCCAAGTTTCTTCTTCGACTCGATCACTCCTCCAAAGGACCTTTACCATAGGAATCTCCTTATTCCTAAGCTTCTTCACTTGTTGACCAACAATCTTCACTGGTTCCACCGCATATTGCAAGTCCTCACGGATCTCTACCGGTGGTCTCTCAAGAATATGAGATGGGTCTCGTATGTACTTCTTGAGCATTGATACATGAAACACGTCATGTATCTTCTCAAGTTCAGGCGTCAACTTGAGTCGGTAAGCCACGGCCCCGATCCTTTCAAGGATCTCAAACGGACCTATGTATCGGGGGTTAAGCTTCCCCCTCGATACGAATCGGATGATGCCCTTCCAAGGAGAAATCCTTAGGAAGACCTCATCACCGACTTCGAACTCCAACGGTCTCCGCCGTTTATCAGCATAACTCTTCTGTCGGTCCTGAGCAGCCTTCAGTCTATCCCGAATGATCCTCACCTTGGCCTTGGTGATCTCAACCAGCTCTATCCCTTCGAGTTTGGCCTCGCCAACCTCGTCCCAACACAATGGTGTTCTGCATTTCCTCCCATACAATGCCTCATACGGGGGCATGCCGATACTTGCCTGATAACTGTTGTTATAGGCAAACTCCACTAGGGCCAAATGCTTGTCCCAACTTCCTTGGAACTCCAAAGCACATGCCCTAAGCATGTCTTCCAAAATCTGTATCACCCGCTCGGACTGTCCATCGGTCTGTGGGTGAAAAGCTGTGCTAAACTTCAGTTTAGTCCCCAAAGATGCTTGAAACTTTGGCCAAAATCGGGATGTGAATCGTGGATCCCTATCCGAGACAATGGATATTGGGACTCCATGTAATCTCACAATCTCCTCCGTGTATAGCTTGGCCAATCTTTCAAGAGGATAAGTAATGTTGATAGGCAGAAAGTGTGCACTCTTGGTGAGCCTATCAACCACTACCCATACGGCATCGTAGTTGTTCACTGTTCGTGGCAGCCCCACCACGAAGTCCATGGTCACATGTTCCCACTTCCACTCTGGGATGGTGAGTGGCTGCAAGAGCCCTGCTGGGTGCTGATGCTCTGCCTTAACTTGCTGGCAAGTAAGGCGTCGACTCACATACTCTGCGATATCTCTCTTCATACCTGACCACCAGTAACTTTCCTTCAAATCTCGGTACATCTTAGTACCTCCTGGGTGCATAGCATATGCTGAAGAATGAGCCTCCTCAAGTATAGACTTCTGGAGCTCCTCATCCTTTGGTATGCACACACGATCTTTAAACATCAAAAGACCGTCATCACGTACTCGAAAATTCTCCACGGGCCCCTCAAGGATCCTTTCACGGATCTTCTGACATTCCTCATCAATGGCCTGACATCTACTGATCTCACTCAGCAATGTAGGCCTCACCTCGAACCTAGCAATGAGCGCCCCGGTCGTGGACACCTCCACGTGTGCCCTCAACACTCGTAGACAAGTAAGTAACGTCCCTGACGTATTCTTCCTGCTCAGTGCGTCGGCCACTACATTGGCCTTTCCGGGATGATAGTCGATGATCAAGTCATAGTCCTTGATCAACTCCATCCATCTCCTCTGCCTCATAATCAACTCTTTCTGAGTGAATACATACTTCAAGCTCTTATGATCGGTATAAATGTGACACGTCTCCCCGTAGAGATAATGCCTCCAAATCTTCAATGCAAACACTACCGCCCCCAACTCTAGATCATGGGTAGGGTAGTTCACCTCATGTTTCCTCAATTGCCTAGAAGCATAGGCAATCACCTTACCGTTTTGCATTAGTACACATCCAAGCCCTTGGATGCTAGCATCGCTGTAAATGTCATACCCTATCCCCTGTATGGGTAGGGCAAGGACTGGTGCTTCGGTAAGTCGTTTCTTCAATTCAAGGAACCCCTTCTCACATTTGTCGTCCCATATGAACTTGGCCCCTTTCTTTGTGAGCTTCGTTAATGGTGACGCCAATACGGAGAATTTTTCCACAAATTTACGATAGTATCCCGCTAAGCCAAGGAAACTACGTATCTCCTTCGCATTCCTGGGCCTCTCCCAATCCATGATCGCTTTTATCTTGGCGTTATCCACAGCAACACCTGAACCGGATATGACATGACCGAGGAAACCAATCTCTTTGAGCCAAAATTCGCATTTGGAGAACTTAGCGAAGAGTTGCTTTTCCCTTAGCCGATCAAGTACAAGCCTCAAATGGTGTTCGTGCCCTTCCTCGCTCTTGGAGTATATCAAGATGTCATCAATGAATACTATCACAAATTGATCTAAGTATTCACTAAACACCCGGTTCATCAAGTCCATGAATGCCGCCGGTGCGTTGGTTAAACCAAATGACATCACAAGGAACTCGTAATGACCATACCTAGTGCGGAATGCACTCTTAGGTATGTCGTTCTCCTTGATCTTCAACTGATGATACCCCGACCTCAAATCAATCTTCGAGAACACTATTGCCCCCCGAAGTTGATCAAACAAGTCATCAATCCTCGGTAAGGGATACCTGTTCTTGATTGTGACCTTGTTCAACTGTCAGTAGTCAATACACATTCTTAATGTACCATCCTTTTTCTTCACGAAGAGTACGGGTGCCCCCCACGGTGAATGACTGGGTCTGATGAATCCGTTGTCCAATAATTCTTGTAGTTGGACCTTCAACTCTTGAAGTTCGGCCGGTGCCATTCGATAAGGAGGAATCGAAATGGGTTTGGTTCCCGGCTCCACTTCAATTACAAACTCTATCTCTCTATCGGGTGGAAGCCCCGGTAGGTCTTTGGGAAAGACATCCGGGTATTTGCATACGACCCGTACATCTTTGATGTCGACTTCCTTCTTGGTATCGTCCACCACGTAGGCAAGGTATGCGTGGCATCCCTTCCTCATCATCTTCCTTGCCCTCATCACGGATATGATGCAAGCATTAGATTTCCCCCGATCTCCTTCAAAACATAGCGTGTTTCCAAGATCATCCTCGAGCTCCAACACCTTGGTGTAGCAATCTACTCGAGCATGGTGCTTCTCAAGCCAATCTATTCCTAGGATTGCATCGAACTCCAACATGCTTAGAGGTACGAAATCACAAGTCAAGGGTTGACCCGTCACTTCCACCTCACATGATGGATAGTAATGATTTCTCTCCACGTCGTCTCCCAACGGTGTGGAGACTAGCAAGGTTTGTGTCATAGGCGTCAATGGCACGTCGAGCCCCTCAGCAAACGCCTCACTCACAAATGAGCGTTGTGCCCCGGTATCGATGAGGATCCTCGCACACCTACCATTGATCTTTAATGTTCCTACATTTATACACCATGTAAGATACATTTTCTAATGTTTTTACACACCTTTAGGAGTTTATTAGGTTCATACTAATGTTTGGAATCAAACGGGGGTCCAAACGTAGAAGAACGGGGCGAAAAATCAAGTTTCGGGTGCCGGGGGTCCACGCACGGCGTGCCTGGGTGGCACGCACGGCCGTGCGTGCAACGAATTCTTCCTGCACCCCACTGCCTCCCAGGCACGGTGCCAGACACGGCGTGCCTGAGGCCGTGCCTGGCCAAAAATTTTTCGGGGCGCCACTGCCTTCCAGGCACGGTGCCAGGCACGGCGTGCCTGCGGCCGTGCCTGGCCAAAAAAATTTTCGGGGCGCCACTGCCTTCCAGGCACGGTGCCAGGCACGGCGTGCCTGCGGCCGTGCCTGGCCAAAAAATTTTTCGGGGCGCCACTGCCTTCCAGGCACGGTGCCACGCACGGCGTGCCTGCGGGCGTGCCTGGCCGGTAGTGGCTGTGTTCCATCTGTTTTGGCCTAACTCGCCCGGTTTGACCCCGGGGTGGCCCGCACTCAATCCCAACGACGTATATGATCAAAGTAAGCCTAGAAATGCATGGGAATACGTGTATTACCTGCAACGGAGTCCGGGTTTGCTCTCGCATCCGCCTCGGTCATCGCGTACACTCGGGCTTGGGTCCCACCTTGGTTGACGGATGCGGCATGGCTTGTGGATGCGCCGCCTCTTCCCGTGCCGCCGTTTGACGGTCCCGCACGGTTCCTTCCCGTCATGGTCCCTCCCCCGGCTCCCGAGGCACTCTCTTGCATTAATTGAGGGCAATTGGCCTTCATATGGCCCGCATTCCCGCACTTAAAACACCTCGGTGGTTCATTGCACTTCCCAAAGTGTTGTTTTGAGCAATTGGGACATCTAGGTGGCCCCGAGTTCTGTGGCCTAGGTCCGTGCCACCTCGCATCCCTATTCTTCTTTGCCGGTGGAGCCGGCGTCTTGAATGAACCACCGCCACCACCACTACCAGCCCCGTGGTTGTTCCTTCGAGAATGATCGGGTGGCCCCGAATTATTCCACTTCCTCTTCTTCGCCTCTTCGGCGTCCCTTGCTTTCCTCTCATTCCACTGGGCCTCTCCAAGCATGCCCTGCTCTACCACCTCACTAAAGGTCATGAGGCGGGAATACGTGGCACGATCTCGGATGTCCAAGAGTAAGGTATCCCAAAAGTGCTCAGTCATGCGGTCCTCATCGATCGCATACTCCGGTAAGAACCTAGCCAAGGTCGTAAACTCTTGCTCCAGTTGCTTAACCGTGCAACCCTCTTTCTGCTTGAGGTTGGTGTACTCCCTCCTCTTCACATTAACCTCGAAATCGGAGTAGTATTGAGCATAAAATTCTTGCTCAAAATTTTCCCATGAGATGTCCCCACGGTATTTCCCTTCTACACCTTCCCACCATGTAGAAGCCATCCCCTCAAGTAGCCGTGAAGCGACAGTTAGCTTCACGTCCGGAGTAATCTGCATGTCTCTCGATGCATCCTTCACTTTCTTAATCCAATCGGCGGCAACAGTAATGTCGCCGGTGCCGTCGAAGGACCTACACCCCAAGGCCCTAGCCTCCTTGAGGTATTTGGAGATTCTTACCACAAAACCTCCCTCATGCCCACCTTGTGGCGCTGCTGGGGTGGCCACGGAAGCTCCCCGGCTTCCTTGACCCGAACCACCACGAGAGCCACGCCTCGCTTGGCGCCTAAGGTCTCTCCTCAGTTTCTCCTTTTGATACCACTCGAGTAATTCGCCCATTTGGGCGAAGCGGGCATCACTCTCTCCATCATCATCATCGGTGTATGTGTCACCCCCATCATACGGGGTCTCCTCATGCTCCGTTTCCGGAACGTAGGTTGAGTCATAGTCCTCGGTGTTGGTTTCATACACCGAGCTTACATGGCCATCACTCACAGTTTGAGCTTGATGACCTCCACGGCTTCCACGGCCTCCACGGCCTCCTCTTGAACCCCGAGATGCAGCCCGGCTTCCCCTTTGGGATGCTACCGGCGTCTGCCCCCTCGGATTGTTCCTGGTCCCCATTCGCCTGCCCTCCATTTCTGAAAGAAATATGGATGAGTCATTAGACTCCTATAAATGTCAATTGACGGAAGAACGTTACAGGCACGTATTGGCCCAAGTCACTACCATACCAATTGTTAAGGGTACCGTCTTAACAATTAGAGGCCTTGCAACTTAAGCACCAATAGTCCTATAACGTCAAAATACAATGCTCATGGTTTTCGGTAAAAACTCTTTTGCAAAATCTCTTGTGAGAGGTTGATTATATAGTTTAGAACTGAGATGGCTCTGATACCACTTAATTGTCACGCCCCAGACCGCAATCCAAGCGCGTGTACAACCGCCGTATAATCAAGTGACGTCACCCGCGAGTCAACCTCACTTGATTACACAAGGCGTTCGAGAAAAAATAATCCATCCATACTCAGTAGTAAACATACATAACAACATCACATTTAAACTAATGAGTAGCGGAAATATTCAACGGTAAGTCATAAGCCACAACCGGCCAATAACATGGGCATGCAAGCCCCAAAAATAGTTTATAACAAATAAAAATATCCATGAGCAATGTTTGGAAATTTGAAATAAAATGAGGAAGCACGAACCACGTCTTCCTTGATTTGATGCCACCCGTAGAAAGGTGCAGGTAGCAAGCCCTAGCTTCAACCTAAAAATGGTGGGGCCCCCCCGAAGGGGTCAGTACAAGTACCGAGCGAGTAGCAGGCTAAATATAGAATAACTATCGTTTCAAGTATAAGACTCAAACATAGGGTGATACATATACGTATAGTCCTTTCCCCAAGTTTGAAATACATATTAGTATACATACACTTGGAAATACCCGACCCGTAGGTCATTGTTTATTTGGGAAAATAATAGTAGCCAATATCCTTGACTTAAATCCCAACCCACCCATATACCTATGAGTGTATAGAACTCCTCCTTGTTCAAATAAATTATCATAAGGACACCGCCCGGTCCTAGATCATTAAATGTAATCTATGAGTTTTGAGGATACACGCCCGACCCTTGGGTACTCCACCCTATAACCGAGTTTTGAGGATAACCGCCCGATCCTTGGGTACTCCACCCTATATAACCGAGTTTTGAGGATAACCGCCCGATCCTTGGGTACTCCACCCTATATAACCGAGTTTTGACGATAACCGCCCGATCCTTGGGTACTCCACCCGACCTATGACTTACCTCATATCACACTAGATAGGGTCTATATCATATTTAGCCATTCATAACTAATTCAATACATAAAGCTTATGTATCACAATCCGTGCAAATCCATGCAACCACATAAATGTAAAATTAACTAATATCAACCGATATTAATTAATCCATTAACCATCGGTCAACGTTGTCGTTGACCGCCATTTCAAGTTTTACATTCTTTAACTTAATCACCATATAATTAAGTTAATAATATCCCTTTATGCCTCTTTTACACTTCAAGTAAATATGCATTCTTATATAATTTATCATATCATATTTCATGCATAAACAATTAATTCCTTCCATACACACTTGACTATGTTGGCTAATCACATGTTTAAATATCTTTTAAACATCATTATGAACACAAATAACATTTATTTAGGAAACCTCATAATTGACCCGAAAGTTATAAGATATTAAGCCGTCCACTCACCTTGAACTAGCGTTATGAAGCTCCACCCCTCTTGGTTAAACTCCGGTGAAACTCCGGCGACTTTCGGTCAACTCCGGCGACAACTCCGGCGACTTTACCAACTTGTGAAATCACTTGAAATACCTTTCACAAGTTCCTAACAAGGTTTTATAATCATAAAACCCATATTAATATAAATAACCTCAAAACGGTTATTTTCCGGTGAACCGGTCGTTTTGGCTTCTAAGTCCGTTCTTGGACATAGAATCACTTTCCAACCCATTAATCCATACTTATAACATGTAGAACCCTATCAAGGATTCTTCACATGCTATATATCTCATATGGTAGAAGAAAAATAAAGAAGAAGTTATAATAAGGTCATTACCTTAGTTATTTCACACTTTTAGCACTTTAGCTCCTTCTTGGGTGATTCTTCCTTGATGATTTCTCTTCAACAATGGAGGAAGGAGGCTGGGTGGTTTTTCTTGCTCTTCCTGGGGTCTCTTGGCCGAAAATGAGGGTGGGAGAGGGGTGAGGCTTACCCCTTTGTCTCATTGAACAAATGAGTGTGGATGGGGGCCACCTCATTTTTGTTTGATGCCATAAAGATCATATCAAAGCCTCCTCCCATGCCTCTCTTCTCTTACCAGCCGGCCAACCCCTCCAATTTGAGTGGCAAAAACGTGGGTTGGCCCCCACTCATGTGGGAGGTCAACCCTTTTTGTCCCGAAGTGTACAATCGGTCCCGAAAGTTGTATTTTTCGGACTGTTTTAATCATATTTTATTTTATCGGGTCAAATAAAATATATTATGTGCTCTTACTCATTATGACACGTATAATGAATATACATTCCCCAACTTTAATTTATAAGCCTCCGAAATTCATTTCCGGGCTGTTACTTGTCAAATTGTCGGTACCGGTAATTGGGCCTCTTTTTCCCAATCGGTCAACTCTACGCCTTTCCACGACCCAAATGAAATACCCACCACTATATAACTATTATCTTGACCAAGATGAATAAAATATGTGATCTCGGGAGTGTCGGGCGGCCCCGCTCCCGGTGTGGGTCCCACGTGCAATTTACTATTCACGCGAAAGAAATAATAAAAATTTACAACTTCGTAAATTCATTAATCCTTTAATAAGGTTCGATACATTATTTACATAAAAGTAAATATATTTGGGGACGGTGTTACAACTCAAGTCCAAAATGTGAATAGAAAACAACATACAAGTCTGAAAAAATTTCAAGTCGGAACCCATTGCGTTTAATAGGTTTAAACTTTAAACATTAAGTGAACCTGAAAACAAGTCGAAATGAGATCATCCGAGTTGTCACCCAAATTGTTGACTTGCAGTGTATTCATATAAGTCAGATGAAACTAAAATTGTTTGACAAAATATGAATAGAAAAAAACATGGGATGGTCGGAAGACTATGTCGTATTGATACATAACCAGATCAGTTTTTTCTAGTTGTGTATTCAACCGAATCTGTTTTTGCAAAAGAGATTGGCTTAAAAAAGTCAATCTATTTTCAAACTTGTGTATTTTTGCATAGGGAACCCATTGCAACTCGAAATGCAACTCGAAATGAGATCATCTGATGTCGTATTCAAAATTTAAGCCAATCTTCATGACTCGGTTGATTTAGTAAGCCTCAAAACACTGGAGACTTGTATGTTGTTTTCTATTCATATTTTGGACTTGAGTCGTGAACGAGAATTGTGTATTTTTGCATAGGGGACCCATTGCAACTCGAAATGAGATCATGCGATGTCGTATTCAAAATTTAAGTCAATCTTCGTGACTCAGTTGATTTAGTAAGCATGAAAACACTGTGTATTTTTGCATAGGGAACCCATTGCAACTATTTTGGACTTGAGTCGTGAATGAGAATTGTGTATGTTTGCATAGGGAACCCATTGCAAACATACAAGACTTGTATGTTGTTTTCTATTCATATTTTGGACTGAAAACACAGTCCATAATGAGTGTATAAGGAACAACATATGGAATGAGGCCTTTGCATAGAACACAATTTGGCAATGGGTTTACTCTCATTTAAGTACAAGCAGCGGCGGACGCAGGATTTCCCGATAACAGGGGCGGCAGTACAAGAATATACATACAAATACATATATATTAAAATTTTCGGGGTAAATATACCTAGAATTTTTTTCCCTCGGAGGGGCGGCAGCCCCCCATAGCCCCCATGTGTGTCCGCCACTGAGTACAAGACTCATGAACCCATTGCAACAGGACATCGAATGATCTCATTTTGAGTTGCAATGGGTTCCCTAGATCATCTGATGTTTTATTCAAAATTTAAGTCAATCTTCGTGACTCGGTTGATTTAGTAAGCCTGAAAAACATTGAGGCTTGCTAAATCAACCGAGTCACGAAGATTGACTTAAATTTTGAATATGACATCGGATGATCTCAACCATCCTGGATTATATGGTTGAAGAATATTTTGGACTTCAATCAAGTCTTCATATTTATCGACTCAATGTTATTTTGTAAATTTGCAAATGATATCCATATGTGATCTTCAAAATAGTACCATTTTTGTCCGAATTGATTTAGTCGAATAGAGTTCCAAAATAGTCTCCATTAAACATACACTATAGTTCTATTGCAATATGTTTTATATTGTTGCAACAGTATAAATGTCTCCAGTATATTTGTATGTTTAAATTGTTGAGTACTATGATTATAGCAGCT